ATAAACAATCTGAAATTGAATCACTCGCACATGCGCACTCCTAGGGTACACTCCCACTTGGTTGCCTTCGGTAAACGGTCATTGAGTATAGGATGCTTTAGTGTTCGTCCTTTTGTCCAAAGATCAAAGTTGCCTCGGAAAGATTGCCTCGGATATTGTTGCCTCGGATAATTGATCTAAGACATTAGGGTTACTACTAAGACGTCTTAACATTGCTTTAGTGACCGTACGTCCCTTTTCGAATTGACCCATAAAACTCCAACGACGGTGCTACCTACTCACTAATAGTGGGATAGCACTGTCTAAAGAAAACAAGCATAGAACGATTCTTTTTTCGAGTAGGTAGATTAGTTCTTAAGTACTTGCTCAATCAAAACAAACTTTTTTCACACTTACACTCCTTTACAAACAAGTTTTCAAAAATTCTTCATTACACTCTTGAAGACAGAAGCAAGAGTTAAATCGAAGTCAAAACAAAAACTTTTCAAAGCACACAAACACAAAGAAAACAATTTTGAAAATGATGAGAAAGTACCTAAGAGCCTGTAGATAACTACGGATAGAAAGGGTGCTAATACCTTCCCTTTCTATAATCTACCCCCCGTACTCAGAAATATCTCGAAAAAGGAATTTTTCTGTGCTTTTTTCATTTCTTTTTGGATAAAATAAAAGACGGTGGTGACACTTGCTTACCGCGACATTTTGCGAACACAAACGCAAAATGCAAACCAACAAATTCCTTAAAAAAGGGAAACACGTCCCAGTTCTGGCCACCGTATCACAACGCGTACAAAGCTTTGTTTCGAAAGATAGTTCAAAGATGTGTTTGTGAATTGTGTTTTGGAAAGTGGTTTTTAAAAAGATGTTTTGCAATGGTTATCGTCTCTATAAGAACGTATACAAAAGGTCTTGTCTCTTGAAAATGTTTTTAGATGAAAGTGTTGGTGTAAAAATGTTTTTGTCGTGAGCAAGCGAGCAACTAGGATCGAATCTACCTACTCGAAAGGTCTCAAGGTTCTTTTCTTCCTCCTTTTAATGTTGCTATCTTACCATTGATTTGGTAAGAAGCCCCCTCGTTGGATGTAAAGGGACATGCGCGAGTCAATTTTACAGTCATCGAAAGCAACTTATGAGACGCTTTAGTAATTTTCGTAAGGGACTAGATTGTTTTATCGAAGGCAACGTCGAGGGTCATCGAGGGACTACGATCTTTTTTTGAAGGGTCATTGCTAAAGCGTCCCATATTCGAGGGACATGACTGTGTTTTTGAGGCAACAAGCGAGGTTACCCTAGAGGTGCGCGTGTGAAAAGTGTTTTTGATTCGAGTTAATTTTATCTTTGAAATTAGGTTATCTAGCGATTGATTTTAAATCTTGCCATACACGCCTAATTACTATACAGTAATAAGTAAAACAATGAAATGCGGAAATTGAAATTCTACGCTATTACAGAGCTTCGGGAATGGGGGTACAAATTAATGAATGGGGGTGATAGTAAGAAATAAATATTTAAATCACACAATACAAGTCCAAACCGTTAAATAATTATTTAAGTTAAAAATCTTTTCATTTGATAAAATTAATTAAGGATTTAATTAATAATGTCAAACAAAAATCATTTTAAAGTTAATAATTATTTAAAACAAATATTAACCTATTTGCAATGTATACTGAAATATAAAATAAAAATAAAATAATAAAAAATAATAACAACAAAAATATAAAGGCAAAGTTTAGAAATGGGCATGCATTGGAGCAAAACTGGGGGTGTAGAAATCAATAGGCCCAATGCTTCTGGCTGATCAGGTGCAGCAGCCCCCTGGAGGTGCACCATGGGCGTGCATCTATGGTGTGATAAAGAGTTATTGATAGATGATGAGATGGAAACAGATGGAGGGGTGATGAGGGTATATCGTCCATTAGCGTGGGAATGCACACATAGGATTATTCAAGATAATTAAAGGGGTGGTGACAAGTATCACCACCGGATTGGGCCAAGGGAGTAATTAACAGAATAAACAAAATTAAGTAAGCTGGAAACAGAAACCTCATAATTCATATTTCTTTCTCTCTCTTAACGCGCTGCTCTCTCTTCTCTCTTGTTAGGAGCCTTCACCGGAGAAGACCACCTGGCCGCGCCGGAAATTGCCTTACGACGGTGACGGCGGCGGCGTGACTCTAAATGCTATTTTTCTTACATCAATCTAATCATCTCCTCTCCCTAATTACTAATCTATGGTTAATTTTTGCAGATTCTCACTCTAAAGCCCTAGATCTAAATAGGGGTGGACGAAAACCCTAGGTCCAATATGTAGCAAACAATGATGATTTATGATTAAGCATGCAAAATGGAAAAACAAAATGTAAGAAAAAGGGAGAATGGAGGCCCTGTTCTCCAAATCTGTGAGCTTCGAACCTTTCTAAAATTTGTGCTTCCGGTATTTATCTGAGTCTCTTTCTCTTCTTCTGAATATGTTGGGATGATTTTTGGGTAGGATAACGATGAGGATTAGGGTTTGGATTTTTGCTATCTCTCTGAGTTATTTTTTCATTGTGAGTTTTTGGTGGTGATATTTGGTGACAAATTTTTTTGATGTTGTAACCTTTGTTAGCTGATTTGTTGGTTTTGGTTTTGTGATGTTTTGATGGTTTTACAGTGATGTTCTTTTGGCTTCTGGTTTTGTGATGTTTTGATGGTTTTACAGTGATGGTCTTTGTGATGTTTTGATGGTTCGGTTGGCTTCTGATCAGTGAGGTTTGGTTTCTGGTATTGTTTGTGTTATTTGCTAATTCTGTTTTTTGTGATATCTGATGGTTCTCTCCTCTCTCGTTCAAATAATCTCCTCCTCCTTTATAAAACAGTGGTTCTCCTTATTATCAGATTAGGGTGAAAATAGGAGGGAAAACTTGTGAATTTGGACAGTTTTGGTTTTTCTAGCTTTGGGGTTTAGAGTGCAGATTGAACTATGTCCATTTTGGTGCAAGTTTGGGCAGGTTTTTGGACTGTAATGCAGGCTGGTTTGCTGGTTGTTTTGGGTTGCTTTGCAGGGCTTCCAGTTTGTTTGTATGTGTCAGCAACTTTGCACAATTTTGGGATTGGTTATATGGCCTAGGTGATATCCTCCCAACTCTACTTTTTTCCTCTTTCATTTTTCTGTGAAATAAAGCACTTTTTGCTTTTGATATATTTTCTGAAGGGTTTGCTTGATTTAGGAAAATGATGATGTCTAGGGCATGATTGCATCTTTGATATATTATGGATTTTACTTGTTGCTGCTTTGGTTGTTCTTGCTTGCTGCACTTGTTGTTGCTTATTGCAGGTTTGGTTCTGCCTTGGACAACTTGCTTGTTGTCTGCTATTTGGGCAGCTTGACTGCTACATCTGGCCTGCTGTTAGCTGCCTTGGGCCGTTTTGGGCTGCAACCTGCCTTTTGCTCGGATCCTACTGTTTTATTTTGTTGCTTGTTTGAATTGTTGGCATAGTTTGACTTGTGCATTTGACTGCTGCTGTTTGTAGCCTGTTGCTTTGCTGCCTTGCCTGTCCAGTTTGTACATTTTCTTTTTCCCCTTTTTTTTTGTGAACCAAAATCTAGGTTTTGAGATTTGCAAAATAGAGAGAAATGTATGGTGATTAAAACAAACAAAATTTTGATTCCTAAAAGTAAACCCTAGTGATAAAAATCATTTTTGCTTGGATTTTTCAATGCTGATTGTTTGCTAATGTTTTTCCTTTCTTTTGTTACATGTACAAACAATTGAATGGAAATCAAGATAAGATGAAGAGAAGACCATGGCTAGAAATGAGGAATTTCTTGAAGATAAAGCAAAGAGTCTTGAAGAAGAAGCATTTCTTTCTTTGTAAATATAAAACTTGAGATTCTTTGTAAACAAGACCAACAATTTGTAATTTATATTTTACATTGTAAACCCCTTTTTTGTTTACAAATTGTCAAAGAATGTAATCATAACATAACATTTGAATGAAATGTATGAATGATGAATTTGTTGTACCAAACTTTGAGTTCTATTTTAAACTTTGCAACTCTTGATTGAATGCTTCGAATAAATCATCTTGGCTTGGTAACTTGCATTTTAAGCAAACACAATATGATAGGATAAATCATGTATTTTGCATTGTTAAACAAAATAAATGTTTAAGAGCTCAAACCCAACTGATTAATTGAATCCACAATCATGATTATTTAAAATGGTAGTCTTAAACTTTATACCTTATCCAAACATAACATGCTCCCATGAATAACATCAACCCTCAGAAAATTGTGGTTAAGAAAAATTTAAAATCACACAAATACATTTTCAGTTATCTGGGCTATGGATTGGGAAAACTTGCAATGTGAGGTTTGAAAACTGACTTAAACAACTTTAAGGAGACATGGTGACTTATTTGAAACCTTGACGACTCAATTTCCTTTGAGAAGTGCAAAACCCTAATTGCTGATTGGTTGCCTAGGAAGAGAACCTACTTGATCAACTTTTGAGCCAAATTGAGTGTTTGAGAAACCCTGGGATAGCATCTTGAGTGAAAAATGGGAGGGAAAATTTTGAGGTACAACAATGATGTTGTCCGATGTAAATTGAAAACGGAAGCAGATGCAGAGAAGATGTGTGAAGTTCACACGGTGCAATTTTTATGTTGTTGAAGAGTAAAGATCAGTGATGTGAATTTATCTCTGTTGCAGAGATAAGTTGCATAAGATTTAAGATCGAAGTTGTTGCTCTAAATTTGTTGAAGCAGTTTGCAAATTACTGATGAAAATTGAAGAATAGATGCGAATAAGGTGGTGAAAGTCACAAATAAGGTTGAAGACTGATTGAAGAAGATGCAAATAATTTCATAGAAAGAGAGGTTGGTGATTGAGGAATCATGGAGAGAGTGATGAAGAATGTGCAGAGGAAATTTTTCAGTGAATTATTCTGAGGTGAGTTTCTTCTCTGTTAGTTTTCTGTGTGTTTAATAATTGTGTATCCTCCTCTGTAACTATGAATTTCTCTTTCTCTCGATTCGTCTTCTCATTTTTCTCCGGCGAACACAGTGCCATCGAAACACCACCGCCTTCTTCCGCTACGACGCCAGCGGTTCTCAATCTTTCATCTCCCGGTTTGCAACGCCTCACTCTCATTTCAAAATCGCAGAACGGAGACAGTCCAGCGCCGCTTCGAGACTCAGGTACTTATCTTCATATATGTTCTCGTCTTCTCTACGTGTCTGAGTTGTTGCATTTTTCTATTGTTACAAATTCATGATGTTGAAGATGAGTGACTATACGAAATTCGCTTGTGGTTGCAGAGTGTTGTGAGATGATGATTGTGGAACGAGAAAGAGGAGTTTTTTAGTTTTATTTCAAAGATTTTTGGTGAGATGACGGTGATGAATCTACGATGAAGATTGGAGATCCTGTTGTAGTTGTGAATGAAGATTGGAGATCCTGTTGTAGTTGTGAATGAATATTGGAGATCTGTGAAGTGGAGAGACGATTACGGAAGAAAGAACAGAGAGAAGAATTTTGCAGAGTTAGAGAGGTGAGAATTTTTCAGAGTTGGTGATTCCTCTGAAGGTGATGATGAAGGATCTTGAAGAGTTGCCGAGAAAGTAAGATTGAAAGGTAAGTATTTTGATCTTCTATGACCCTTTTTTCTTCTGTATGAAATCCGAACCTTTTTCTTTCCCCCTATTTTTTGTTATTAATTACTCGTGTATCTTCTTCTCTTTTTCTGTTTTTTAATCTGTTATAACTCTTTTTGGAAGTTGGTTAGAGTGGTTATTCTGTTAGAGAAGGAAGCTAGGGATTTCAGATACTGTTAGAAGCTTTGTTGTCAGTTTTTGCTAAGCTGGGATTCGGTTAGTTTTCTGTTAGTTCTGGTTGGAAACCGTTAGAGGTTAGAGCAGGTTATGGTTAGAGTTGTTAGTTCAATTAGGGAGTTGGTTAGAAAATTCTGTTATGCAGTTGGTTTAATTCTGACTTAACCCCCTGACCTTTCCAGCTGGTTTTTTTCTCTTATTTTCTTCATGTTGCTGACTTAATTCTGCAGGCTTCTTCTACTATTATTTTTCTCTTTGTTTTGAATTGTTGTTCTGAATTGGTGCAAGATACTGTTGATATTGTTGCTTCTGATACCATTGCTCTGATGTTGGCTGCACAGCCACTTGGTCTAAAGCTTGGGTTTGAGATTCCTTGGTTACCAGAATCAGTTCTAAATTGTTGTTGTTGTAACCCTGGTACATTATTTCCCGACTGTTGTTGATGTATATTTGTTAAATTGTTTTTGTTGATTTATTAATTGTTGTTGTTGTCGCTGTTGCGGGTTCATGAGATTATTCTGTTGTGGATGCAACCTCTGGGACTTAAGTGTGTCACCAACATTGTTCTGTTGTCCAAGCATTTGAGCATGCTTCCTGTTGCGGGTTCATGAGATTATTCTGTTGTGGATGCAACCTCTGGGACTTAAGTGTGTCACTAACATTGTTCTGTTGTCCAAGCATCTAAGCATGCTACCCATTTGTTACACTTGATTGAGGCCCTCCAAACTGCTGTCGTTGCTGAGCAGGTAAGATTGACTGTTGAGACATTGGTGTTTGACGCAGGTTCAGAGATGTCCATATTTAGATGCCTTTTGAAATCTGATGTATGGGTTAAAACATAAGTTGCAGTTCTAATAATAGATCACAGGATCGTTCGTACTTTGGCTAATTGAGATTTGCTTCCTTAATGATGCAGGCTATGAAGAGTTTGAAGAACGACAGAGGGCTTAAAGAGTTCACTTGGATAAGAGGCATAGTATCAGGTTAAATGGAGACTCGACTCATGATGTGAAAAGTGGGGAAAGGCTTGGTCATGGGACTTGGATTTATTGTAACTTTAATATTTGACGTATTTTCTTGTGTAAATTCCTTCTATTTTGGAAAGTAGATGATTTGAAGTTGTAATGGTATGATTGAATGTAACATAAAATATGGATTCTTTTTCTTTGTAAAGAAGTTTGCTTTCACTTTCATGATGAGTAATCCAAAGAAATGGCTTTGAAACTTCTTTTAGTCAAAATGATGTTATCCTTGTATCTTGAATTCACCTTATGACCATGTTCTCATATTAAGTCGAATATCCACGTATGCCATAATTGAATACAAATAGCCTCTAACTCAATGCTTGCACCTAGAGCTCTTAAATACCCTTATTTTGGTATGAGATCCATACCCAAAGCCATGTGGTCCAAATACCAATTGAATTTTCTTAGACGGAGAAAACTCACTAGACTCTAGCTTGCAATAACCATACCAATATCTCTGATAGCTTGCACCTCAAGTAATGATAAAAACCCCTTTGAAATTTATTAATGAACAAATCCACATGGAACCATTCTTCAAGCCTACACGATTAGGGAAGTAAACCCTAACTCTTTCAACCCTAAAGTAACCTGGAGGAATGACTTTGTCTTTTGATGAAAACGAGTCTCTTGATAAAGGAGGAAATTCCCAATGAAAACCAACTCTAATCCCTCAACATCCTGGATCCCATGCCACATTTTATCGATTAATGAATAAATGACGCGTTAGATGACCTAATGGAGATGTGTACAGATGAAATGAGTATTGCATAAGCCAAATAAAAGTAAAAGGGTAGGACAAATTTGGGGTATTGCAACGGCCATGCAACAAACGATCCTATTGCATCTGCCACCAATGTTGCATCTGCCACATCGTCAGGTAGTGGTAACAACGCACCCCCCCTCTAAAACGACATCGACCGATACTTTCAAAAATACCTCTGGGAGCGGTCTATGGTGAAGCATTTCTCCCGAAATATTATACACTTTTCCCTTGCTAACCATTCGATAAGTCGGTGTCGTCAAATAGAGTTGACACCAAGAAATGCCCTATAATTTAATAAATATGGTTATATAATTAATAACATGGTTATATAATTAATAAACATGGTTTTATAATTTATAAAGATGGTATATAATTACCTCGGGAATGTTTTGTCCAAAGTTACCATTGATACTACCTTTGTCACTAGTATCTTTAAAGCCTGTAGCTTGATCGATTTCCTTTTCATTTCTTAGCTCATAGACTTCTTGTTGTAACTTTTCCAACTTCTCCTGAAGTTCTTTATTTCTTGGAGCTTTTTTCTTTGATTTTTTTTCAAGGATGTTGGAGTGATCCCAAATCCCTTACCCCTCACCTGACCAGAATACTCATGAATATCTAATGCTCGTGAGAGTATTCTCCTGCAATCATTATCTTCGTCTGGAGGTATAGACTGGGAAAGACTCTCCTGAAATTCATATAAATATTGTAATTAAAGAATGATATGTTAATAAAAGAATGATGTAATTAAATAAATAAAAGTATGATGTAATTAAATAAATAATGTTATACTTACACATCTCTCGAAAATTTGTTGAACTTTTTCTTCAACAGCTCCAACCTTACACACACGGGCTTCCTTTCACAAAATATGTTCCGGAAGAGATGTTTCAGAACTATTCTCTTTTGTTAGCTACACATTAAGCCAAAAAACATGATCAAATATAAGCGTGTATATATTATAAATACTTTGCAATTTATAGATACTTACAATAGATTGTTGTAAGCGTGCATATCCCATACGGCCTTTTCTGTATGGATATGCTGGACTTGATGCTCGTTATCAATTTACGACACTTAAGCTCTCAAATTTTTGGGTATTTCTTTTCGATTTAAAAGTTTCCCATTCTTCAGCTGTAATCAAATCAACATATTTCTTTGGAAGCTCCGCATCAACAAAAATTTTATCCGCATCCCTTAGAAACTTGTTTTACAAGAAAGCTCTAAACCCTCTATGTAGTTCCCGGCCAATTTAAGAATATAATCTCTCCTCATATCCTCAATGATGAACGACCTCTACGAAAATCATACATAAAGCGCGTTAGTATAAGTAATTTAGAGACATAATCGTCATTAAAAATAATTAACATCATATATGGTACCTGTATCTCACTCCATATTTTATCTTTAGCATTGTCCAACACTCTTGCTCTCCAATCTTCACATGTGATTGGAATTTCTCTTCTTACCACGGAACCGAGATAACCTGTCAACCTTGAATCGTTAGGCTCAATGAGTTGGCCTTCTTGGCTCCAATGCACATCATACTTTATGCCTTAGTCTCTATCCCGAATTATTCTCTTCATTATTCTTATTCCTCTTCTATATTCCATTTCCGTTTTACTAACGACCTTATCTCCATCATGCACAGAATCATCACGTGGGTGATCGTCGTTAGTAGCCATCTAACCTGTAATAAACATAAACATAAACCCAATATAAAAGCGAGTCAGAAGCGAGTCAGAAATATATATAAAATGACAATGCCAAAAATTAACATAAACATAAACTTAAACTTAAACACAAACATAAACATAAACATTTTAGTATCCTACCTCTTTCACTAACATCTCTATCTTTTTTTGGTTGGAACGTGAATTACTTGTTTCTTAACAATGCGGACGGATGGATTCATCCAAATTCCCTCATTATGATCATTTCTGATATATGATTCATCTGCTATAATATTCTCATCTTGATCATTTATAATATACGACTCATTCCGTCTAATACATTACTCATTCTCATCATCAATACCACCTTGGTCTACACCGTTATCATCAACCACTTTGTTAGAAAAAAGCACTATAGACCATTTTGTACTCGTCGGGTCAGTAACATAGAACACTTATTTAGCTTGAGAGGCTAGAATAAAAGGCTCTCTATTAAGATTCACTTGGAAAAATCCTGACATATCCATTCGTATGCCACCACTACTTACCCACTTGCAACCAAAGATAGGAATCTGAAACTTCTCATAATCAAACACCCAAATATGCTCGATAACTCCAAAATATGACAGATTTGCATATTTTGGGTTTAGGTCCTTCATACTAGAAATGTGCATTGCTTCAGCAAGCACGGTGACACCACTATTTTGCATAGTACTTTTATCATCTTGTTTTTTGGTATAAAATATGTATTCATTAATTGCGTATGCGCTATAGGAAAACACATGCAAACTTGGACCATATGCCAAATGTGATACGGTGGGAGAACTGACTAGAAGGTTTTGCGTTTTATCGCAAATGTTGTGGTTAGCAAGAGTCGCCATCGACTTTTCTTTTATCCAAAAGGAAAGGTGAAAAAGCACAGGGTAAACCTTTGAGATGTTTTCTTGAGTTCGGGGGGTAGATTATGAAAAGGGAAGGTGTTAGCACCCTTTTCATCCATGGTTTTCCATGGGCTCTTAGTTACTTGCTAGATCACTTGCTTTTGTTTGTTTGAAATTGTGTTTGGTGTGGTTTTGAAAGTATTTGTAAAAGAGGCCATTTGTTTAGGCAATCTTTGCAATGATTCTCGTTCATAAGAATGTATACAAAGATGTTTGTCTTTTTGAAAATGTTTTCAGTGTTTGTAAAATGTTTGGAAATGTGTGTGCTTGTTTTGAAAATAGCAAGGATGTTTGTTTGAAATTAGAGCAAGTAACTAGAAGCAATCTACCTACTCGAATGTCTTTCTTATGCATTTTCTATTCCTTTGACATTGTTGTCTTACCATTTATTTGATAAGCAACTCTATATTTGGATGTTAACGGGACGAGCGCGGGTCATCGTATAACCATGATTAGCAATTGTTTGCAAAGTATCTTAGCATTTTTGAGGGACTAAGATCATTTTTATAAGGAAACATTGAATAGCATCATCGAGGGACTATGATCTTATATTTGTTTGTTTTGCCAAGATACTTCGCATGCGTAACATGGCTATTTTTGTTTTAGGGAACCAAGTGGAGAAACCCTAAGGATGCTTGTGTGCAAGTGTGTTATTTTTCATGCTTTGATTTAGTCTTAGATTTAGGGTTTTCTATTTGCTTTGTTCCGATCTTATCATACAAACCCTAATTACTAATCATGGCATATAAAGCGATACATTGCGTAATGTAAATATTACTAAGCTATTACAACAATTTTATGGGAGGGGGTGTGATACGGTGGGAGAACTGACTTGAGGTTTTGCGTTTGTGTTCGCAAATGTTTCGGTTTAGCAAGAGTCGCCACCGACTTTTTATTTTATCCTAAGGAAAGGTCAAAAAGCACAGGAAAGACCTTTGAGATGTTTTCTTGGGTTCGTTGAGTAGATTATGAAAAGAGAAGGTGCAAGCACCCTTTTCATCCATGGTTATCCATGGGCTCTTAGTTACTTGTTTAGATCACTTGCTTTTGCTTTTCAATTGTTTGAAATGGTGCTTTGTGTGTGGTTTTGAAAGATGTTTTGAAAAGAGGCCATTGTTGTGGCAACCTTGTAATGATTCTTGTTTGAATGTATACAAAGGTGCTTTTGTCTTTTGAAATGATTTCAATGTTTGAAAGTTTGATTTGGGAAATGTTTTGAAATTGTGTTGTGAAGTGTGTTTGAAAATAGCAAGGATGTTTTGCAAGCTTTTGATCAAGTAACTAAGAGCTATCTACCCTAATTTACTTAAAGATCTTTCCTAATGTTTTTAACCCTTTTAACAGTGTTGTTTTACCATTGCATTTGGTAAACAACCTTGTATTAGGATGTTAAACGGGACGGGCGCGGGTCATCGTATAGACTATGATAGCAATTGTGTGAAGTATCTTTGGCAAATTTTTAAGGGACTTGATCATTTTTATTTAGGCAACCAAGATAGCGTCATCGAGGGACTATGATCTTTTGTTTTGTTTTTGTTTTGCCAAAGTACCCAACATGCATAACATGGCCCATTTTTAAGGCAACAAGT